CACCCGCTTAGCTGGTACAATGATTTCTATTTTCTAGGTGAGAACAGTGAGTCTCCAAGAGGCAAATTCACTCACACAAACTCACATCATCTCTACACGGCAGGGCTGGGCAGAGATCTGTCCCCACACCTGAACCATCACCGGTGACGATGGGCTGTGTTCAGGCGGAGAAGAGAAGGTCCAGAGAGGGGTAAAGGAAGAAGCAGCAGAAAGGGTCCGGAAGAAACTGTTTCGTGCTCCACAGCAGCAGCACGTCCCGCAGAACTTTCTGCCGTGATGGACGTGCTCTGTGTGCAAGACGTCAGCCACTACTCACAGGTACCACAGAGCACCTGACACGTAGCTAGTCCAACAAAGGAACTACATTGTGTGTGTTATCTTGTTTTTGTTTTTGTTTTTTTGGTGGGGGGGAGGGGAAGCAAGCACACACACGAGCGGGGGAGAGAAGCACAGGGAGAGAGAGAGTGGAGCTTGGTCCCAGGACCCTGGGATCATGACCTGAGCCAAAATCAAGAGTTGGCAAAAACAGAAACAAAAAGAACCAGAAAAAGAGTCGGACACTCAACTGACTGACTGAGCCACCCAGGCACCCCAAGGAACTACATTTTTAACTGGACTCCATTGTAATTAATTAATTTAGTTTATTTTTTTATGTTTATTTATTTTTGAAAGAGAGAGGGACAGAGCGTGAGCAGGGTAGGGGCAGAGAGAGAGGGAGACAGAGAATCTGAAGCAGGCTCTAGGCTCCCAGCTGTCAGCACAGAGCCCGACACAGGGTTCAAACCCACAAACTTCGAGATCATGACCTGAGCCTAAGTCAGATACTCAGCTCAACCAACTGAGCCCCCAGGCAGCTTCAGTGTAACTGATGTAAATATAAATAGACACACCTGGTAAGTGGCTGCAGGACAGGGGAAGGAGGGGAGAGGGGAAGGGGGCGCATATCTACAGCAGTGAGCTCCCCGCCCCGGGCTGCTCCCGGTTTGGTTTACCCACCTGCACCTGCTGCCTGGGGTCCCCTCGCCCCTCAAGGAGCTTCCTCTCTGCACCCTCCCCCACCCCAGACAATCTGTCTTTGGGAAGTTGGTACCAAAGGCCTTTAGGCAGCTGGATTTTCTCAGCCTCTCTCTGGGATTTACTTTTGGCCATTTTCAAGCTCCTTTTAGGGTGGAGTCTGGGTAGCTGGTCCCACACAGGCCCCACAGGGCTTTACGCGGACTCAGCGTCTGCTGCGACGAATAAACAAGGGCAGAGGGAAAGCGGGGAGAGATTTCTGGCAACTAGAAGCCTGGCTTCAGCTCCTCAAGCACACCCTTCCGTGGGTCATCCTCAGACCCGCAACTCACAAACAGTATGGGTTGGAAAGGACTCTTCCCGAGCCTCACTTCCAGATACTTCTCTTCAATAAATCTAGGGTGGGGAACGGGACTTGGCCAACGGGCGTGCACACACGCGCGTGCGCGCGCGCGCGCGCGCACACACACACACACACACACACACACCCCAATTCTGATGCAACCAGCCCCAGTGCTACCCTTCTGAGAAATACTGATTCAGGGTGAGGCTGGGAACAGGGGGGACACCGGGGGCAGGAAGAAGGCGCCCTAAAGGGGAGTTCAGCAGTTGAGAAAGGACTTTTGAGAGACTTCGAGTTGTACGTGCTTGTTTTGTGTGCCAGCTCGCTCTGCAGAAGGCGGAAGGAACCTGAGTCACCCGTGTCCAGGCCTTCCACGCCCAACACCTGAGTCCCCGCCTGTCTGGGCCCCAGGTTCACCTGAGCGGTCCTGTGGGCTCCGGGCTCAGGCTCGCGGGCAGCGCCGGCTGGCTGGCGGGGGAAGCGCGCCTCCTGGCTACAAGAGCCGCAGCCTGGAGAAGCAGCGGGGTTCCCCCTCTAACTCCGCTCCCTCCAGCCTCTGCTGCCCCCTCACTTCCCCAAAGCCAGCGCTTCACAGCCATCTGCTGTGCGCTTCCTGTACAGTGTCTTTATGTCTCCTCTCCAGCTCGCGGGCTGTGTGGGTGTGGGAGGAGAGCTGGGTATTTTCTACTTCTCGGCATTTTCCTTCTGAGCTGCGCTTTCACTTCCTCCCCCAATTCTCAGTTCTGCCTTTCGTGGGCCGCCCAGGCCTGGAGACCACTTCGCCCGTCCCTCTGGAGCACCAGGGGATAGAGACTGACTGCGGTGGGCGGCCCTTTGCAATGCCCAGCGGCCAGGCCACTTAGGAGCCAGAGGGCACAGAAACCGCAGCAGGAAGCTTCCCAGGGCAGGTGCCCTGGGGTGTGGTGTGAGGAGCCAGACGCAGGCAGGCCGGGGAACCTTGCTCCCTCCCGGGGGTGGGGGGACAGTGTGGCCTCAACCCTGCCTGGCACACCTCTGGCACCACAGCGGACAAGCCCAGGCCTCACTTCCCTTCCCTTGCCCCTCCTGCCCCCGTCCTCAGCCAGCAGGCAGGGCTCTCAGCTCAGCTCAGGCAGAGGACTAGCTCTACTGTTGGGAATCTCAGGCCCGCCTCCACCAAGGGCCTGACCGCATCCCATCCCAGCCTCTCTGAGCCTGTGTCCGCTTTGGATCGAAGTATATCATATATATATATGTGTGTGTATATATATTATGTATATATATATGTGTATATATATACACGTGTATATATATACGTGTATATATATACACGTGTATATATATGTATATGCACGTACACGTGTAACATGTATATACATACATATATGTATATACACGTGTATATATATGTAAATATATATTTACATTTAGTTATTTTTGAGAGACAGAGAGAGAGCACAAGTGGGGGAGGAGTAGAGACAGAAGGAGACACAGAATCCAAAGCAGGCTCCAGGCTCCGAGCTGTCAGCACAGAGCTGGACGCGGGGCTCGAACTCACAAACCATGAGATCATGACCCGATCCCCAGTCAGATGCTTAACCGACTGAGCCACCCAGGAACCCCAGGAACCAAGTATATTTTAGATCCAGCAGAGAACCAGAACACATGTGGAAGGTACCTGAAGCCTCGGTCAGCAGTGACTGCCACCTGCAGGGGTTCCCAGTGTGTGCTGAGAAGGGGGGCCCCTCCATTCTCCTCTGTGCAGCATAAGGGGCACCGCCGTCCAGAAAGCAAAGCGCTCACCCCCCTATAGCTTCTGGAGTCCCCTCTCCCAGCAGAGAGACCGCTGGGCTGAGGATGTCTGCCCAGGACAGGACCCACCTGCTCCCAGAAACCTGCAAGCCGCTCCTCAAAGAGGCCCCCATACCCGAAAAGAAGTCTCTGGAGAAGCGGTGGCCGGAGAGCCCGGACACAACTGGGCGCGTGGCCAGAACCCATGGACGGGCTTGGCTGCCAGGGGCCGATTACAGTCAACAGGAGCAAAAGTGTCCGCTGCCCTCTGCCCCGCCCCTCCTGTCCTCTGGCCAGGGAGCCCAGCGTGCGCCAGCCCCAAGGCTCCCGACTCCCCTCCCGGGCCAACCTCCCCACCGGGGTTAAATTCCCGGGCCGGGGGGCCGCGGGAGGTGCGAGCCCCCTCGCAGTCGGGGCTGTGACACACACACACACACACACACACACACACACAC